TGAAACAAACGGTAGGGTATCATTGATCACGGTTTTTTCTGTATCATAGATTTTTGACTTTGCCCTAAGAAAATATGGTATGAAGGAATCAACTCCATCTTTTAATTTTTAGGGAATCATTTTTTTCTCAGTTAAGAATACCTCAACTGGTGGACAACAACTTAAATATGGTGGTATTCAGTGTTTTACTCCGATTGGAGCAAAAACGGGGATGCTCTTTGGGTCCCGGTTTACGGGTTAACTGGGCAGTTTGCTGTCCAACCCACCGAAACCGTCATTTAACTGTGACCTAAGAAAGCCACCTGGCCTGTTTTCGGTTTTTACAGTCCGATGGTTCGATCCGGGCCGAATCTTTTAAAACATTGATACTTTGATAGGTTCAATGTTACCATTGTTGATGGATTCCCCAATCACTATTTTCAAAACCGGATCAGACCGGACGGTCGGACCGGAAAAACTGGGAACCGGTTATCTAATCGATTTTGTTTTCCTCTAAAATCGCTTTTTCCTCTAAAACCGTTGATTTTGGTCAATAAACCGCTGAACCGGCCAATTAACCGTTCAAATCGTTCGAATAATTTTGATCATTTTTTAATTTTTTAATTTTTTTGTCAGAACAGACCAACCATTTGAATCGAATGACGGGACCATTTGAACCGATAACCAAACCCTGACCGGCTCAATCATCGGTTCGTTTTTAAAAACCATGCCCCAAACCTACCGAAAACTACAAATACATTTCACTTGCCACTAAATCAGAACTAAAACCATCAAACTCCACTCCCCAAGCTGGAAGAATCCAAAGAACTGTACAGTTACAGGAGTCTTCTATAAGCGGGTCCCCCTTTAAGAAAGAGAGAGTTGGATTGTTGGGATTGGGGAGTGATCATGAAGCATCTACCCAAGCTGGAGAACTTTTCCTTGAACCCAAGCTGCACATTCAAGGCCCATCTGACACACCATGTAATCAAGTAGTAGATGCTTCACGTGGAGGAGGGAGAACCACCCATTTTCGGATTTGTCTTGGCCCCACTCAATTACAACCTTCTTCGTCTGGCCAGTTCGTAAAATGCTGGGCTTTAACTTTAACTGTACCGACCGTTCTGACCTGGTTTTCGGTTCTTCTACGTCTTTCCCGTTGTTTGCTCCTAAAAATACAAATAACAAAATACTTGGTGCAAGTTTCATTTGTACTAAGTATAAATACATGAAAATGGGTAAGGTTGAGTATAAATTTTTGTTTAATTGCATTTGATAATTTGTTTTTATATTTAACTCCTTAAAAGTAAGATGAATTGACCTCCACTTTAAATGAAATAGAGTTGGGACAGTCAGGTAGGTAGGATGAGGCTTATCTATCTACGAGTAGACCTGTTTATAGGTCGGCATTTGTTCGAAATTTGAATGAGGCCTAGCCGAAAGCCTATATATGTTTGGAACAGTGTAAATTTGAGCCTAAACCTCGCTCTGTGAACAGGTCTATCTAGGAGTAAGCAATGATTAAGGTATTGATATTGATATTTTTGATATGGGGTATATTGAAAAAAAATTGTTAAATTGGTGCCATGAGAATGATGAAGGATATTGATATTTATAGGAATTAATTGAAAATAATTTAATTACCCAAAATACTTTAAAAATCAGCCATTTTTAATTGTTATGAGAGATATTTTGATCATTGTAAAGTCATTTATTAYATTGTYCAAATGCTCCCAATGTCCCAAACTAACTGTTATATAGGATATAGCTCTTGAAGGGGTATTATTGTTTTTTCTTCTCCCTAAAGCCAAAATATATAAATACCCCCCTATATAACTATTTATAGGCTTATAACTATTAGATTGAGGGGGTGTTTTTGTAAAAACCCCTAAAAAATTAAAAYTAACTGTTTGAGGGCTCCAACGACTAGTTTCTCGAACAAACTACACTTGACCCGTGGGCTCACAAGTCATACCAACATGCAAGCAACCCATGAACTTAAAACCCTTAGCCCAGCATAGCCTATACAATCGTGCCATGCCTGACATAGCTTGCATGTCACCGTGATTTCCACGTGGGCACCGAGCTGGGAACCTATCACGAGTGAACACATCACATATAAGGTGTGGTTTTAGGATGGGCCCCATGTGAACAGAACACCGGTGTGTTCACTCGAAATAGGTTACTCATCCTGGTATGCTAAATTTTGTCTCTAGTTCATCCGGTTCCATATACTAACAGTTGAGATAATGTCTCTAGTTCATCCGGTTCCATATACTACAGATATCTTGCTTCAATTATTAAAATTAAAATAATGTAAAAGTATCACCCTTTTGAATTGTGGAAGAAACAATTTCTTGCATATTACATATATTGACATGGTTTAAAAAAACGACCTGTAAAGAGAGCCGTTCTGGCCATTGATTTTTGGGTTAATGGCTTGATTGTTCAGTTCGAATAGATGATTTGTTCTGATAATAAAAATTAAAAAATAAAAAGACCAAAAATTATTGAATGGATCGATGGTTTGACTACCCAGGCCAATGAATCATTGACGGATTCAACAGTTTTGATCAAGGACTAAATTTGGGGTAAAATGGAATCGGTTGTTTGGATAGTTCCTTCCTGAGCCGAACAGTCCAACCATCTGGATCAATGGCGGTTCGAAAACTATGTATATTGATACTTTAAACCTTAGCTAGACTAGAATATTAGCTCTAATAATCACAATTGAAATTTTGAAAAGTTCACCAATGGGACTTTGAATGGGTAAATACCATATAGGACATGCTGCTGGTCTTGGACTATCACCTTCATCGAATGATTCTCTGAAGTCTTACCGTGGACAGAAGAGTGGAATCGTGTCTACAAACAATCTTCAGTCAAAAAATTTTGAATTAAGAAATCGGCCCAGAGTCAAAAGTTCATCAAAATCAGCAAACTTGATTTGGATTTCCATTATCTTGAAGCCCCTGTAGTGCTTTATGAGTTCAAAGGATCCTGAAGCGATCTTGGGATGGATGTAGACTCAAAATCGACATTATTCAACTCTTGTATACTTTTTTTTTTTATTTATTCTAAACATTATTCAAATCTCCATGATTAGGAGGATTGTCCCCATCACCCAAATAATTCATTTCATCTGTTTTCACTGACATGACTGATTTCTTTAGTGTGGTTGCTCCAACCTCCGAGTCTGGGGCCGCAAACAGTTTATTCAATCTATTACAAAATTGATCTATGGATCTACCAAAACCATGAGCAGAGCAGCAACTAGGAGAGAGAAAGAGAGTGTGCGTGACTCCAATTCCTTAAATCATTCTTATTCAAAAACAACAAAAATGAACATATAAAAGGATTTGAATGGCACCACTTGTATATTGTTTTTATGTTTTTTGCTACGCAAACAAACTACCCTCCATTATGGGAGGTTCATCAAACAAGCCTGAATCTTTTATGAAACATTTTACTTCCTGCGTTATCCTTGAACCACATGGTCAAGAGGGATCTATTTACATGACAAAACTGGAATCACAATTTGCTGCAGTTCGTCAATTTACCACTGTGAATCTATCAACTGTATATGATTCCTATCAGGGATGCAAGTTGGGTATCCAATTTGATGAATTTATGTCGCATTTCGCATTGAATCAGTCCTTTTAAATTTTAACAAATGTCCAATCCAAGTTAATCAAGTTGCACCCCCTAAGCATAACATCATTATCATTATCAGTAATAGATTGATTAATGTTTTAAAAATCGACCCAAAATAAAACTGCTTTGATCATCAGTTTTTTCGTCAGTGGTTTGATCTCTTGGTCCAAATTAATGGATCAGTGTATGATGCTTTAACAAATTAAAATAAAAATGACAAAAAAAAAAAACTGATGTCCAAATTGGACAGATTAACAGTTCAATCACCTGAGTCAGCTGTTTACTAACTAATTCAACGGGTTTAGGGAAAATAATGATTCAGGATTGAAATTGAACCAATACCCTGGCCAATTTCTGGACCAAATGGTTTCACCATCCACCAAGACAATCGGTCGGTTTTGTCTTTAGTTCTCCTTCTCCGGGGAGAGCAAAGTTTTGGATTTAAATTCTGTTTCACCTTAATTTGATTTTGTAGTAACAAAATGGCTATCCTCTGCTTTGGCAAAATCCGGTGATTCAGAGAATTGAAAACCTAATCAAAATGGAAAATAATTAAAACCCAATAACTCATGACGAACCTGTTGCATTTATCAAAAGGAAAAAGAAAAGATGATCAAACCTTTATCTAAAGCCTATTCTTAGCATGGTTTTTAAAAACGAATCGGTGATTGAATTGGTTAGGATCCGTTAATGGTTTGAACAGTGATCGTTCGATCCAAACAGCCAACCTGTTTTGACAAAAAAATTAAAAAATAATTAAAATTGTTCGAACAATTCGACCGATTAACCGGTCGGTTCAGTGATTTACTGATCAAAATCAACAATTTTAAAAGAAAATGGAACCGGTCAGATTCCCGGTTTTTTCGGTCCGATCCGGTTTTGAAAACCATAATTCTTAATAGTTTGGCCGTAAAAACTTGCTCTTTATTTTAATGATTTCCCTACTGATTAAACAAATTTACTGAATAAACTCTATTATATTTTGCTTGTCAGAAAAATAAAGAATCCAAAACTTTATAATCAAAACTTAGTAATCAGGCAAACCAATTTTAAAGCAATCCAAAAGTGGGACCAGACGGACTTTTTGAAAAGCTTCCCACTATTAATACACAGTACTAACTTGTTCACTGATTGGATTATTTAATTCAACTTCAACAAGTTGGGATACATGGATAGTGGGATTGGATTAACGCTGCATTATCCACTAATTTCAGAAAATTAATCTCTGATTGATCCTCCCATCATTGTCACCAATTGACATCTTTTGTCTCTCGACATTACTTTATAGTTTATGCTACAGATATCGAGGAGATGGGAGGATAAATATGGTAATATCATTCCAGAACCGCCCTTGGTTTTACAGGGCCCCCTCCCCTAGTCTGAGAAAACCAAGCGACCATTAATGGGGGGACGTCGTTGGGATCAGCTCCGAGGACGTCTGCCCCACACCCACAAAAGTAAACGAAGGAAAAACAGGAGAATCCGATCTTGGTTTGGAACCAAACATCAAAAACCACCCAACCCTGCCAGACCCACCATTCTCTCCCCTTCTCTGATCTCACACTATAAGTAACGAGCCTCAACTCCCAACTCCATTCAGTGTCTTGAGCCTTGAAGTATAACTTTCAATAAGACTTATCTCTCTCATCAATTCTTTTCCGTCATCATCTCAGTTGTCAAGAATGGCAAGGAATGTAGTTCAGTCCACCATTGACAGAAATGGATTGGCTTCACTGGACCAGAAACTCGCCTTAGCAAAGCGATGTGGTCATGGTATTTATTCTGTTCTCCTTTGTTTGCTCTTCAGCTCTACCTGAAGCTATATGCTCATCTTGTTATGGGTATATATAAATATAGATCAGTGCGTGATTTGGTTTCTTGTTCTGTAAACAACAGAGGGAGTCGTCGCTGGGGCCAAAGCGGCTGTCGTCGCTGCCGTTGCTTCTGCAGTTCCTACCGTAAGTCTAGCTTTCCCATCACTTTCCATTAATTACATAAGATGAACAGAGAATTTGATATTCGGCTTGACATGCAGCTTGCTAGTGTGAGGATGCTGCCATGGGCTAAAGCAAACCTCAACCCAACTGCTCAGGCTCTCATCATCTCAACGGGTATGGCCTTATGATCATCTTGTTCTCAGCGGCTTCTTCTTCATCTCTGTCAATATTTGCTTCTGTGTTTGCTAATGAATTGATCTGTTGCTTGGTTGACAGTGGCCGGTTCTGCATACTTCGTGGTAGCAGATAAGACTGTTCTGAAAACGGCGAGAAAGAACTCTTTCAAGGAATTGCAATAGCCTCTAACCACCGGTGCAGAATCCAGTCTCTGATGACTGATGTTCTTCTGCATCTTCTTCCTTACCCACTTAATTTTTGCTTGTAATTTGGTTTGCTGTGTGTAAATGAGTATATCCAAAATTAATGCAATATAACAAATGGAAATATATGATAGAAATGTTACTCTACTTTGTCTCAATTTCCAATGGACAAGGTAATTGGTCTTACAGTCTACAAGAACTCCAGAACCGTCTCCCAAATTTTATTTTAATTATTTTTAGTGATGATGATCGATTCAGTAAAATAAGGTCTAATAATTAAGAAGGTAATAATACGTTAATAATTTACATGGTTACTAAATACTTATAGAACATGTTCATGAAATCTGCTAATGGAAATCTTGGAGCTGCAGTGATCATTGTTCAACCCTGAACCAACTTGGGTTTAACTCAGGACAAACTATTATGAAAATTAAAGCTTATAAACTAACGATCTTGGCCCATTTATCCATGATAATTTTGGGATGAAATTGGTCTGATCGTATTTGTAGGGGAAACAGGAGAACCTCAAAAACACTATTGAGAAGCTGAATTGAACTGGGTATTTGTGCTGTTTCTTCTGATCATCAAAATTCAAATCCAAAATATGCAAATTAAAATTAAACACGTAGAAATGCTCCAGTTTCTCATTGAACCCTTTGACGATTTAATGTTTAATATTATTTTTTATAACATTAAATTTTAATTTATGTTTGTTGATATACATATTTCCTAGTTTAAAACTAATAAATGAATTTAACAAATAAAAATATGGCAATTGATCTTGTGAACTTGGTAGACTGGGCCCCAATCAACTTGTATTGATAAATGGAATTTGAAATCCAATGAAAATATCACAAGGTTTCCTAGCCGTGTGATACATGTCCCAATTAATGTGCCTTGTCTTTGATTATGCTTACTAACGTGCCTACTACGTCCGGACGACCCTACCAATGCTCTGAGGTATCGTATGTCATAACACAACCGCCGTTGGTTTTCTAAAGGCCCACCTCCCGTAGTTTCAAAAAAGCTATTCTATGCAGCATTACAGTCTCAGCCAAATGGGGGCAGGTGTCGACGACGATGAACCGGGCACAAGTACACATTTCCGGCAACAGTAACGGAAGGAAAACAACGGACTCCGACCTTCGATTGAAAAACATCAAACTCTAACGCCAACAACAAATCCGTTCAGTCCTCGAGAGAGAAATGGATCGCCTTCACTGAACCAGAAACTCGCCGTGGCAAAGCGATTTGGCCATGGCATATGCTCTCTTTTCTTCGCTTTTCAGTTCCTTTTTGATCAGCAATTTGGTTTCTTATTCTGTAACAACAGAGGGGTGTCGTCGCCGGGCCGAAAGCGGCTATCGTCTTCTGCAATTCTTACTGTAAGTCTTGCTCTCCCCATCACCATCAGTTTCTGTTATTTGGAAGATGTGTTGAGAGTTTGATATTAGAAAGGTGATTATAGACATCACCAACTCTGTTCTGGGTGACATGCAGCTTGCTAGCGTGAGGATGTTATGTTGCCTTGGGCTAGCGATAACACCTCAATCCCCCCGCTCAAGCTCTCATCAATCGGCTCTGTAGACTATAGGTAGGGTCTTTTGAACATTTAACGGTTTGGTAGGCTGTGGAACCAGTGATAAGATTCCACGTACGCCAGACTTAAAATATATTGGGCCCACAATTATTCAACCTCTCAATGTGGAGAACGGATCTGTTCCTCCTTAAATTGCGCACGCCTCACACCAATCTCACAGCAAGAAATATCTACCTTATTTAATATAAACCGCATTCTGTTCATAAATTTGGCATTAATCCACGGGCAGGATTCAGTCCATTCCTACAAATTCTAACTCTACCTTAGAAGTGGACTGAACTATAAAATCTCCTTATATTTATTATTCATGGGAGATGTTCCCAATACACATTAGGATGTGATTATGAGGTCGGTGTGAGGAGCAGATCCCAATTGCTCAGTGTGAATCTCATATATTTTAGGCTCAAATCTGTTCCTCACAGTAACCTCGTAGTATGTCTTGGTTGTACATCGGAAATACCTCTCGTATTTGTATTTATTATTCATGGGGAGATATTCCTTGTACACGATGGAATGTGGCTGTGATTTCAGTGTGAGATATGATCTGTGAGGAGCATATCCAAATTCTAAATTTTATCATTAGTGTAGAGTGTCTTATCATAGGCTCCAGTCTGCCCTGTTGATCAAATCCAAATCACCCACCAACAAAATACATTCCAACACCCTACCAACATCATAAGACATGGGACATGTCATACATGACAAATCTCATATTTATGATGGGCCCCAGTTTCATAGTGAGATGTGCAGTGCCAGATCAAATTGATAGGTTGTTGGAATGTATGTTGTTGGTAGGAGATACTAACAACCAACAGCCAAAGAGTCCAGCTGATCCGAATTTATTTGTTTCAAAATGGGCGACCTTTTAAATGGGTTTTCTGGAATCCATTCACAACTAAAAAAAAAACTTGCATGAATATAAAGAGTTGGTAAACAAGAAAGCCCAGAAACAAATTCTTAGAACAAAATATGGATAAAAGAGAAGATAAATGACTTGTGCAATTGACAAACGGTGAAAACAACCAACAGAATAAGCATCATTCTAGAGCATCTCCATCAACCAAAACTAAGGGAAAAGACAGGAGGGGCCCTCAAAGAGTCAAAGGAAAGAACAAAGTAGCACGATCGAGAAAACCGCAAAGAACAACAAATCCCCAAGTAACTGCACCTGTTACCAAAGGCAACTGCCACCAAGAAACCGCAACCGCTACCAAGAACTGCAACCGGTAGTGGAAAATAGTCGGGAAACAGTCATGGACAGCAAATCAAAGCAGCGATTGTGGCCACCATTTCACACCAAATGCGTGAAGAGTTAGCCCCTTGTACCAAAATCCCTGAAATCCCTGCAGAATAGAACCAAAGAAAAAAACAAAAGAAAGGAGAATAACGAGTGAGAGCGAAAAATGATGGGGGATGGGAGAAGGGTGAAGAATAGAAACAATGGAATGAAAGAATGAGGAGGGAAAGAGATGAACGAGGAGAGGGGAGAAGGGGAGAAGAAAACAAGAAAAAACTAGGGAAGAAATAAAAGGGAAAGGGGGGACTCCCCAAGGGTAACCACCCTAGTGGACCGATGGCAGAAGATGAAAACAATGAACAAAGAAAAGGAAACCTTGAGAGAGAGGCTCTCTCTGAACAGAGAGAGAAGAAACCATACATACACATATTTGTATACATGCAAACACATTCGTATATACAAATTATACAAATTTCTTAAGCTTTAAATTAGTGATACTAAATTGGGTCCACAATTTAAAGCCCATTTGGTCCCATTTAACAAATCCAAGTCTGGTCCCAAACCCAATTATGTCAATTTTCAGTTTGGGCTAGGCATGGGTTGCAAAGATCGGGCTTGACCTTGGGCCCAATCCGGCATCAGGCCTTAGGCCCAATATTTAGGGTTGGCTGTTGGTTGACCTTAAACCCAGCTCAGCTTGTCCGTCTTGCACCCCTACTTCTGTAATCTTTTAAACATTTATCCAGTTATCCCAATGAACACTGAAAGAAGCACTTTCAAACACGGGCATCTCAGACCATATCGGTAAAATATGGTTTCAAAATTTCTTATATCAAAACAAACCATTTTATTACGGTTTTATTTGATTTATAAAATTCAAGAAATCGAACCAAATCATTTTATAAGTCTAGACCAAACCAAACCGAACTGCAAATTATGGTTTAGTTCAATCCGATTTTACGGTTTGAACATTATAATAAACACCCCTATTACTGACTAATGGATTTTCATGGATCTTGCCATCTTGACCCATTTTCCTATTCTTAGAGATTTGAGACCCACTTTTGGGTCCAATTCTACTGTTTTTCCGTACACAACTTTAAGTGGAGCACTAAATATTTTGGTTAAAGAGTGATTTTTATTTTCATGAATTTCAGCATTTTTTTTAGTCGATATTATACACCATTAATAACTTCCCCTGACCCCTTTTTCCCTAAAGTGCTAGTTGCGAGATTTGATTCTGCATCAATGTTAGAAGTTTGGAATAAATCGACTAATACACCAACAAGCCAGCCCTCCGTTGGTTTAAATTTCAGCATTTAGAGTGCCAAACAATTTCACTATGTTGGGAACTCCATGAAAATAGAAAAATTATATCCGGCAAATTTATGAGGAGCAGATCCAACTCCTCTCCATAAATGATAACATGCAAATACATGAAATATTTCCAATGTACAGCTACCCACAAGAATATACCCACACCTATCCACGGGAGGTGTGAGAAACGCTTTACGACGAGCATATCCAGATTCTTCTCCATAAATGGTAATATGCAAATATGTGGGTAAAAGATTAGAACAGCTATAGCATCCCAGGGTAGTATTCTTGTGGGTAAAAGATTAGAACAGCTAGCAGGTTTTGTCCAGAAAGTATGTATTATTTTTTTGCTTTATTTATCTATTAGATGGGAAGAAAGATTTAATAAAGTCCTGAAACCATGATGATCTTTGAAAATCTAATCTAATTAATACATATAAAAACATACAGACTAACATATATGCTTAAACAAAGCCCTCATGCAGGAGGGCTTCTGCCTTTGAACACTTGCTTGGTGTTAAAGAGTAATGAATTTCAATGAGAAAAACATTCAGTTAAAAGCACTGAGAAAAGGAAATCTTACCCTTTTTAGTTTAGACCATGAAATATATGTGTAAAATGTAAAAAAAAAAAGTGAATTTCACAAAACTTGGTTTTTGAAAATGTGATCAGCTTTTTAAATCTTTATTTACAAACTGCACTGCACCCATGGTTTAAAATGTCCCTAATTTCTCTAATATTTTCACGATATATTTCCATTTCCATAGTTAGCAATATAAAATTTTATTGGAATCCACATTTCCCCAATGAACATAATTAGCACTATGTGGAATAGTTTCCACAATATATTTTCATTTTCACTTCCATGGATAGACATGAAATTTTATTGGGATCAACATATTCTCCAATGAACATTACCAATACTTTGGAGAGTTCAAGAGTATTATAACATAAGTTGGTGACAATATTCCAGATATGTGAAGTAACAATATTATTTTACACCT